CTGGTCCCACCAAATACAGAGCATGACCTTGGAGCCGTGAATATTCGGTTTGGCCATCGATGTGGAAGCATGGCCGGGAACTCCCCATGATTTTCTGCGCTTGGGATTATCGTAATGAACCCATTTTTCGTCCCCAGTCACAATGCGATGCAGAAATCCCTTCCGTCTTTGCCTTTCAAGCAGCTGTTCACAAGCAAACAAACGCCGTTCAACATCTCTCGGCTTCAATTCGTACGACACCCAATTTCCTTGCTTCTGAATCATTCCCATGGCTTTGAAGCGTTTTGAAATGGCTTGTTGAATCACTCCCAATGATCGTGCCAATTTTTCTTGATTTTGACACGAGTCTTGCTCAAGTAATGCCTCCAATTGTGCACCTTCTCTCTTCCACCGCTATGCCAGTCTTCGACGTCAAAATCACCGTTCTTGAAGTGTTGAAACCACTCATGACACGTTCTTTCACTAATAGCGGCCTCACCATAAGTATTTGAGAGCATTCGATGAGCCTCAGCCGCAGATTTCTTCATATTGAAGCAAAAAATTAAAACCTCCTGCAAATGACGAGAATTTGTCTCGTAAACTGACATTTTCAATCGAGAATAACTTTATGATGCAGACACAAATCGACTAATGTTTCTATGGGGTTACATTGACAGATGTCCAAGTTTATTGACGTCTATGATCTATTTATTTCGACCATCACTTTCCGCTAAAGCCATCTATAGGAAAACGGCGGAAGCAAAGTTGTACACCTAATAATATGAAAATTGTAATTAAATGAAGTTGTAATTTAATAATATACGTACATAAATGCATACTTTATTACGAAAATACTTTATCGTATACAAATATAACAGTCTACACAATATAACGTCCGAAAAAATTTATGTTTTAATTTTATTAATCCCTACTTAAAAAATTTTTTAAAAATTAAACTTTGTACAAACGACGTACCACGACTCTCACTTGTAATATTCATGTTTGGCCTGATTTCCTTACTACAAATCTCATACAATATTGTAGGCGAAAGGATTAATTATATTTTGTGGGAAGGAGATCTAGCTAACCTAACTCTAACCTAACCTAACCTAACCTAACTTAATTTGCAATTTCAACTTGAAAGCAACATTCCTGATTGGAAATCAACGCATGCGCACTAAAAATTGAGGACATAAAAAATTCAGTGTCCATACCATAGACTTATAAAATAGATGGAGCGTTTATACGAGAGAAGCTGAAGACAACATTAAAGGACAGCTCTACTGCAGATATAATTGCTTCTCTCTTTTATAGTGAGCAGTAGGGGGAATCAATCAGCTTGATCGTAAGGCCACAACTCTCTTCGTTGCTCTCGGCCACTTCCCAGCTTGCCGCGGTGATCAATCAATTCACATCATTAGAAAAAAAGAGAATTACTCCCTAATTATTTCTTTTTCTTTGTATCAAGTCTGCAGCTTCTCTCTGAATGCTCCGTCTATCTTATAAGTATATGTCCATACTGTATGTACTTATACTGTGATATATAATAAGTATAAAAAATGAATGGAAGATGTCACTACTACTGCATTTTATTATTTTAAATAGAATTTTTAAATTATTTTAAAAATTTATTATTTAAATAATAAATATTATTTTAAAT